GAAGAGCAATTGAATGAAGGGAAAACCTGGAAAGTCCTCTTGAGTGGTTCATCAACTGCAATAAAAGCAAAATGTTAAGGCCTCACAGATCCCCAAAATAATAAAAACCAAAAATTTGAAGATAGAAACGCGCGTAAGAAGAGAATCTGAGACTGAACTATCATCCATCAACTTCTGCAATTGTCTGATAATCTCTTCTGTGATGAACACCATATTATATTATATTCTCGATCTCTCCCGCCCCAACAATCTTCTTTTAATTTGCTTCTGTGACAAAGCTAGGGATATATGCAAGGTCTCTATCTAGTTCTTATAAACACATGAGCTTCAATTCTCCAAATGAAGCTCTTTCCTTTCACCTTTTCTCTCTTCCCAGAAGTGAGAATCTTTAATAAAGCAAAAACACTACTAGCTTAGCTATATGATAATAGAATGTATAGAGCTACTGTAGAGTGTTAGTCCCTTGATTTGCATGATGATTGCTGATTTATAGTGATCATCACCATTAACTCTAATTGTACTTAGCCAATATAGGTAAATGGTTAATATAGTTTTAGGAGTTCTTGTCAGGTCATTATATTGCTTGTAAGCATCTCATTTTTTAGGTATTATCCTCGGAATAATTACAATATAGGTATTTATAAAAGGAAAAAGAGCATGCATGGTATGTCATTGTAAAATGTCCAATGAATAAAAAGTAATCAAATTATATGATTGAAATAAAATAAATAACATAAATAAATCTTATTATAACGTAAAAATCTTTTTAAAAGATAAATTGAATTTAATTATTATATATTGTAACTTGTAAGTGTTCTAAAATGATTACATTTTTAGCAAATGTAAATGCTTTTTTTTTCGATAATTTTTCTGCTCTAAATAGAATTTTAACTTTAATACTATAATAAATGAAATGGAAATATTTTGTTTATATATATAGAGTTAGGGGTGGACACTTCGGTTTGGTTTATTCGAACCGAACCGAACTAGTAATAGAAAATCGAATGGTTCGGAATTTTGTAACCCGAATGGTTTAGTACCGAATCGAACAGAAACCGAACGGTTTGACAAAAACCGAACCGAACCGAACCGAACGCTATATAATTTTTTAATAAATAATAATAATAATAATAATAATAATAATAATAATAATAATAATAATAATAATAACAATAATAATAATAAAAAAAGAAGTAAATCCAAGTTCCTTATGCTTGCTCCGTCTCATTCTTATTGGTATCAAACCTTAAATTTTTTATTTGATTTTTTTAAAGCTTGTTTTCTACATTGCACTTTTGTTGTTTGTCGCAGTTGTTATTTACCTCATAATTATATCTAACTTGAGTTATATTTACAATATTCAGTATTTTCCTTAGTTTCATGTTTTTCTATAAATTTAATGTGCTTAACCGCCATTCTAATTTTGATTTCCAGTGCATTATAATTATTTTCTAGTATTGGAATATATTTCGAGTGCACTAGCAATGAAAGATTGTGTCTAAAAATTAACTATATAGTAATTGATACTTGTTCTTTTAATATCAACTATACAGATAGATGATTATTCATCTTATCAATAAAAATATTCCAACTGAATATTTTTATTTGATGTTTCATGTTTGTACTCTTTAAACATTGGATTTGAAGTTTGAACTACGTGATTCATGTTTGTAATGTTTGAACTTTGAACTTTGGATTCTAATTTCTAAGTATGTGATGTTTTGGTAATTAGATTGCTATTAGTATGTAATGCTAGTATTTACTATTTAGTAGTATGTTTAAACTTTGAATTATTATTTTGTTATATAACGTTTATATTTTAGATGTGGATTATGTGAATAGGTATTGTTTGGTAGTATGTTTGGAAAATTATGAAATGTTGAAATTTGATGACCGTAATTCTTGTAAAGTCTTAAACCGAAAACCCAAACCGAATTAAATTCGAACCGAAACCAAACCGATTGAAACCGAACCGAACTATAATGTTAAACCGAATGGTTCAACTTTTTTAAAACCGAAAAAAATCGAACCGAAAACCGAAGTGCCCAGCCCTATATAGAGTAGGGTTCTAATGAGAACACTTGTTTAGGTGAGAAAGAATAAATAGTGTGCATCCATCTAATATTTGTAATGGTCTAGATTAGATTAAGTGTCTGCAAACGCAAATTAAATGTGTGCAAACATATTTAATCGTGTTTGCACACATTTAATTTGCGTTCGCATACACTTAATCCAATCTAGACCATTAAAAAATATTAGATGGATGCACACGATTTATTCTCACGTTTTCACCTAAGCAAGTGTTCTCATATGATTATATATATATATATATATATATATATATATATATATATATATATATATATATATATATATATATATATATTATTTCCTAGGCTAAAATTTAGGCACAATATTAACTCTTCCACTAATTAAGTTGTACCATCCTAATTTTCCTACTAAGTACTAATTATATGAACACAATTAATTCTCCCTAATTAAGCTAATCTATTCTTATTATTCTTGTACAATTAGGGGCGTATCAATTTGTCTACATATGTACATTGCCAATTAAGCATCAAGCTAAGTGAAAGCTTAAAAAAAGGTAGTATTATATGCTAATGAAATGAATAATTAAAGTTGGAAATTAAAGGCATGAAATGACATTGACATGCCAAATGCTAGACTGTCAAATGGGGGATTTTTGCAGGATTTGATTATGACTATCTCCAACTGGCACCATACATGAAAAAGATCAGAGAGAAAAAACATAAATGAATATGTTTGATCCCAACGTACGTAAGATATTACGTACCAGAATGAGCTTATGAAGATAGTAAAAACAACAATAATAATGGTACGTGCTAAAAGCAGCCACTGTTCATGAGTTCAGAATGAATGCATGCACATATAGAACAGCACAAATTCCTCCCTCAATACAACATCCTATCTAGGATAGAATATAATATTGGAATCTTTTTTCTTCACTCTTCTTTTCAAAGAAAACCCAACTTTTTTCTCTCTTTACTTATTCATTTTGTCTTGAATTTTGAGAGGACGGACAGAAATTGCAAAGTACAGTATACCTGTACGTATGGCTTGTACGTTATTAGAATCATACATGATATTTTTAGTTGAGTTTGTTTTTCAAAATATATAGAATACTTGTAAACTTTTGTTTTAAATATCTTGTGATTGATTCATACAATTTGTTGGAAAAATTAGTTAAAATTGGTATTTAAATGCGTCATTTTGAGATATAATTTTGAGTAGGTTTTACTTTTAATTTAGGGCGGGTCAATAGGTAGCTAACATTAATGATTAAATGAGAACACCCCCATGAATCAACATGAATGCATACAATCATCTATATATTTACTCCCTCTGTCCCATTTTATGTGTCTTACTTTCCTTTTTAGTCTGTCCCAAAATGTTGTCCACTTTCCAAAATTGAACATCACCATCATTCTACTTTTTTCAAATTACCCTTCTAGCTTTTGCTTTCTTTATTGTTTTTATTTCCAAAAGTGAAAAAGTGAGGGGCATAATTGGAAAGTGTATAACATTTACTTTAATTCATTAAAAAACGTGCAAAAAGTAAATGAGACATCCAATTCGGGACGGAGGGAGTATATAGAATAATCGTATGCGAACTAGCCTTAAGCTGCAAACTACTGAAGGATTGCATCGCAATGGCTCCCAGACATGCTTGGAGGACCTTTGCGGTGACTAGGTCTGTGCACGGTTCGGGTTCGGACGGTTCGGTTTCCGGATTAGTCCACCCGATCGGATTTCGATTTTCAAAATCTAAGTCCTATCCCACTATTTTTGGATCTACTCCTTTCGAGTTTTTGTGATTCGGATATCGGACGGTTCAGATATCGGTTTGGGTAAATTCGAATTTAATATTCAACAAACTTAAGTAAAAAACTAGCTAAAATGCCATATCAAATCATCAAATGAATATCCCCAATAAGTCAATAACTAATGCCTGGGCAGCCTGGCAAAATGTCAAGACTTCAATATCTTGTAAAAGCCCTTTGTTGCATACAAGATAGTGAAGTCTGACTCTAAAGATAGAACTATTCAACTATACAAAGTTACTTAGTTACAAGTTACAAATGACAAAAATGCAAAATGATTTATACAATCATTGAATCATACATTATGACATTCATACTCATACATGATAAACTGATAATGACAAAAAATCCAAAGATCAGCATTCATCAATCATCATCTTCCTGTGAACAAAAATTCCATAATCCCTATATAAGGCATTCAGGGCCTCAGGCTATCAGCTATTCAGCTTTCATGATCTTCCTGTGTAAGTGTGTAAAGACAATACACAAGTTAAATATGACCAATTAAATAGTTTGGGGATTGGGGCTGTTGGGCAGAAAAATGGAACTATGGAAGGCTCAGATTTCTATGTTTTCATGTCAAAGTAAGATTGGGGGCAAATTGCTACTTTTAGTATTGGAATGCAATTATGCAAACCAAAACTAATGTGCAACATACCAACCCAAAACCATTTCAGACAATGGTGGAAGCATCATCATAGCCAAATCAGTAAAGATAAATAACATACTGAGAACTTGAAAATAAGGGACTAAGGTAGAGTGACTGTTATTACCAGATGAGATGACATTCATATAGGCAGTAGGCTGATACAGTTATATTTACTTATACCTGATGGTATCATACTTATCATAGGCAGTAACAAATCCAACAATTGAATTGTTAGTTAGTTACCAAGCCATTAATCCATAACTTTGCTCCTTAATCCACTTTTCCTCATTGAAAATAAAATCAGAATTTAGTGAATAAAGTGTAAATAAAACATTACAGGAATGGTAGGAAGGGGAAAACCAACAGCCCCAGATCCTGTGGTTCCAATTCGACTTACTCTAGAATCCAAGTCTGCAAAGTGCAAATAAAAACAAATAAATTAGAATTTGAATGCAAATTTAAAAAGGTAAAACAGAATGAAAAATTTAAATAAATTACCTTGTTCAAGCTTTTCAACATCATCAATATTTTCCTCAACCTTAACTGGTTGATTTGGTAACCTCATCCAGTCTTGTGCACATACTAGGGCCTCCACAATTTTAGGAGTTAAATAACTCCTAAATGCATCTAATACCCTCCCACTAGTACTAAATGTACTTTCTGAGGCAACAGTGAAAATAGGAACTACTAGGATATCCCTTGCCATTTTGGAGAGAGTAGGAAACCTCTCACTATTTAGCTTCCACCACCTAAGGATATCAAAGTCAGGAGTGTCCTCCATAATTTTTTCACTTAAATAGACTTGAAGCTCTGTTTCTTTATAGCTTCCACTAGCTTCCATTTTTTGCCTTTTTAGTTTGTTCTTTAACATATTTTGAGGTCTACCAATTGTGGTATGAGACTGGACAGGAGGCACATCTGGTTGGCTACCAGAAGATGAATCAGAAGATGATTGTTACACATTGACAGAGTAGGTTGCTGCATAGTCACCAAACAATTCTACCATGGCAGCTTGGACATTCTCTAAACACTTCTTCCCATTATCTTTACTATACAGTTCCTCAAACTGGTATGACATATATTCCAACTTATCTCTTGGGTCCAAGATATTGGCAAAGAAGATCAAGGAATTCATTTTTTCAGGATCTCCCCAATACTTTTCAAATTTAGTTTTCATTTGGGATCCCATAACCTAAGAAAACAATGAATTAAATACAAATAGCCAAACACAAATTCATAAATAATCAGATTAACCACTGAAAATGATAAAATCAAAAATAAGATTTTTCATTACCTCTATAGAACTACCAACAACAATCATGCTACTCAACATGCAACTCAAATCAGATATCTCACTGAAGAAACTGTTAGAGGTGACATATAGAGAACCAGAGATTCTAACTGTCATCTCATAAAACCCTTTCAACAGAACTACCAAGCATTTAACAGATGTCCAGTCAATAAAAGAAGGGACAGAATCACCCAGATCAGCAGCAAATGAGGGCTCATTCAATGAATATGCATCAAACACAGCCTTGTATTGTATGGCAGTGCTAAGCATCATGTAGGTGTTGTTCCATCTTGTTGGAACATCTAGTTGTAAAGAAATTTTTGCTTCCACCCCAAGCAGTTCTGCAAGATCTCTAAATTTTTTGAGTCTTGCAGGTGAGTTCCTCATCCATCTAACAGAATCCCTCACCTTCTTAACAGAACTATCTGCAAATTTTAACCCATCCTGGACCACCAAATTTAAAATGTGGGCTATGCACCTCATGTGAATGTACTTACTCCTAACAGTGGTTGCACCCCAAGACAACAATTTGGACTTTAAAAAATCCATAGCAGTATCATTGGAAGAAGCATTATCTACAGTGACAGAAAAAGCATCCCTAATCCCCCAGTCAATCAAACAACTCTCTAATGCCTTAGCTATATTCTCACCCTTGTGAGAAGAAATAGGGACAAAGGATATGATTTTCTTATTCAGCTTCCACTGATCATCTATGAAATGGGTTGTAATGCACATATAATTGATCCTCTGCACAGAGGTCCAGGTATCAGTAGTCAAACTAACCCTTTGAGTGTTAAGTCTAAATAGCTTCTTAAGGTTTAATCTTTCATCAAGGTAAATTTGGTAAATGTCCATTGAAATTGTCCACCTAAAAGGTATACAAAATCTAGGGCAAGCAACCAAAATAAACCTTTTAAACCCTTGCCCCTCAACAAACCTAAATGGAAGCTCATCAATAATTATCATCTCACATAATGCCCTCCTAATGGCTTTCTGATTGAAAACCAAGTCCCTAACTCCCCAACAACCCCTTTAAAACCCCCCTGAGTATCAAATGTTGTCACAACAGTGAAAGTAAGTAGTGACTGCCTAGTCTCCTTAGAATGTGGATTTTTTAGACAGGCAACCATATGATTTCTTAAAGAGGTAGTGCCATGCTTTTTACTCTCACATTGATAGATTTTAGCACAGTATAGACATTTCCCCTTTATTACTTTGTTTTCAGAATCAAAGATCTTTTCAAAATGTTCCCAAACCTTAGATCTAGACTCAACATTCTTCCTCTTCTTTGCAGGAACAACAGGATTAACCTCAAGGTGCTGAGGAGCATTTGTCTCAGTGCCTTGGGTTACTCCTCCATGCCCCTCCTCAGTTGAGGGTGGAAGTCCAGATTGAGTCATTTGAGTGGCACTATCCATCTACAAAGATGGGCACCAGTTTTCACTTTTCAGTTTGTGTGAGTGTGACAGAACACTAGAACAACCACATAATAAACAATTAAACATACAAAGAAATCCAGAATCAGACACAGTAGTTTGTGTAATCATTTTTCCAGATTTAACAATTAGCAATTAAGGTTCATACATCCATAAACTGATAAACATAATAACATATACAATTATACAAACAAATCCAGATTCAGGAACTCACTCCAGTTCATCATTATCTGGATTTGAGTTAATTGTTAAGGGCTTCCACCAATAAATGGAAATTTCAACACTGGAGATTTCACATTTAAGCCTTTAACTCGGATTGGGAGATTACAAATTTACAAGGCAGAAAATCCAGAATTCACAAAATCGACACTCAGAAATCAGTTTCTAAAAGGCTTCCACCAATAAATGAAATAATGGCATAATATATGAATATATCACCAAATATTCATCACACTCTCACAGAGTTACAGAATACTAGAAGAGACAGAATAGTGGAACACAATACATCTCAGTATCTCACATAAATCAAGATATATAAAACTAGGGTTTTCGATTTCACAATGCTTTCTAAAAATATTCACCACAGATCATCATAATAATATAATATAACACAAAGTCACAAACATTTCTTAATATAAACTAGGGTTTACGAATTACTTGATTTCTCCCAAATAATCCTCGGAGAACAAGGGCTTCTAATCACCAGTTCACCACGGCTTCCACCACTCAGACTCTCAAAGACAGAGAGTAAGAGATTAGAGATTAGAGATTAGAGATTACAGATTAGAGAGTAAGAGATTAGAGATTAGAGAGTAAGATATTAGAGCTTACAGATTTACAGAATCGGAGAAGGGGTAGAAGTGTAGAACAAGAGACTGAGAGAACTGAGACTCTGAGAGAGTGAGAGATGAGATCTCAAACCCTAGGTCAGCTGCGCAGATGGGAGAATGAAGACCAAGTCTACATCCGCATGCATATATACCTTGATGGAACGACGCCGTTTAGTACATAGCTTTGTGAACCCTAGGATAGTTCGGATATTCGGATGGGTCGGTTGTCAAATTAGCATACCCCACCCGAACCCTCTTAACCGACGATGTTTTGAAACCCGGATCGGGTATAGAAAGTCGGGTTCAGGTATTACCGGGTTGGTCTCTCTCGGTCGTCGGGTCGGGCGATTTTGCCGGGTGGGTCGGGTTGTGCACAGGCCTAGCGGTGACATCGCATCCAGTACAGTACAACCATATAGTAAGTGCGGTGCATTCATTCAGTAGTTCACATGTTTACACATTAAGGTCAGTTCGTACCTAATTATATAATATACAGTAATAAAATAATGTAGGGGCTAAATTTGTATATTTGCCATACATAAATATTTATAATTGTAAAAATATCATATGTATTTTACTAAAACTGTTAAAAGTTGACCTCATTAGCTTAATTCTCAAGTGTATAGTAACTATTGTGTGAGTATACGCTCAAAACAGTACAATCTAGAGAAGAAGAGAGATAAATTAGAACAAGTTGAACCCATAGAACAGAAGAACATGGGAAAAAACTGTATACACTAAGAGATCACACACACACACACAAATAATAATAAAAATAATGGTTATAAAAAGATATATTTACAACATAAACAACTTTTTTTTGTCAACTACTCCCTCCGTCTCATTTTATGTGTAATAAGTGTTCAGTGGCCTAATTGCACGTTTTTGAAATGTTCAGTGGTCTAATTGCATTTTCAAGTTACGTTTTGAATATTATTCCTAATAATAATAATGGTTATAAAAAGATATATTTACAACAGAAACAACTTTTTTTTTTGTCAACTATTTGTTAGGATCAAAATATTTTCGCTTTTCTATTATTTTTTTTCCAAAAAAGAAACATTAAAGTAGGAGGCATTAATTTTTTTTTTCATAAATTAATTATGAGTTTGTATATAAAAGCAATTCCTTTTTAATCTTTGTTTAAAGAAGTGGGTGGCTATCTAGCTAGATGGAGTCTCTCTATTATGTATGTGTTTATAACTTTATATAGTACGGTGCATTTATTTTTCTTATAAGGAGAGAAACTCGCAATTACTATTTAGAGTGTATAATAAATAAATTCTATTTTTATATAATAATTTACAAACTACAGAGAAGAGATAAATTATAAATCATATTAAAAAAGTTTTATACAAATGATGAAAAAAATATTAATAATAATCAGATATGTGATCTTTTAATATGACAATTATGCTTTACTTATCTCACTATTTTTTGACATATTGGGCGGTGCATTTGAATTCACAAATGGTGGCATCACGTTTAATTTTCTCAGCCAGTACCACTTACGAGCATCACTCCACTATCTATGACTTTTCCCCAAATTCTTGTGAGCTTTTGATCGCTATCGAATCCAAGGTAGAAAAACACAAAGATAAAGATTGCGCCTAAAAGATTTCATCTATTATTATAGCTTTGAAATCTTTAAAAAAAAAAAAAAAAAAATTGATTCAAAATTATATATGTATATTATGAATACAATTTTTGTGAGATGGTCTTATATGAGACGCATAATACGTTAATTGTAATATAATTTTTTTTTTTAAAGATCAAGCTAAGGAGGGGAGCCCCGGAAGAGCAGTTGTAATATAATATTTTTTGTATGAATACATAGAAATATATTATACTAGTACAGAAACAGTCATACGCGTCTAAACAAGTATACAATACACGTCCAAAGTTGCTTGGATGCGTATGTATGAGACGTATATTGTATGTACAATCTGCGTCCAAGGTTCTCGTGCGGACAATGCTTTCCATGCAGTCACATGACACACCATTAGGTACATATAAATGCACCACAAAGTGTTAATAAATTCATCATTAGGTGTGGTGCGAAGTGGTACATTTTTTTAGTATGTGGTGCATTTTGTGGTATATTTTCGAACACTGTGTAGTGCATTTATACATACCTAATGGTGAATTCACACTCTCCGCACGAGAAGCACTGTCCGCATTTTAGCTGATATATAGTTTATTAGTTTCATATTCCTATATTATTGTTTACTTTTTTAGGGTGAACTTTCCTCCCTCCGCACTTGCATACAGCATCTTCAGTTTACAGAATGAATTTAGAGAATAGGAATCACATTCCATAAGAAATCAAATAGATAAAGAATAAAATAATAATTTTATTTAATTGTTTGGCTCAAAGGTATATAATAGACTTTAAAAATTGTATTTCACTATTCTGTTAGTTCTTAAAAAATATGAATAAACATTTGAGACATAAACACTTTGCATAATGAGTGTTATATAATAATAATAATAATAATAATAATAATAATAATAATAATAATAATAATAATAATAATAATAATATTATTATTATTATTATTATTATTATTATTATTATTATTATTATTATTATTATATTGTTTTAAAAATTAATTTTATTTTTAGTCCATACAAAATATGATCAATTTTAATTTGTCCAGCTAAGGAATAATGCCTTTATCCGTATTTGAATATATAGGAACCGTTGAACACAACTTTTTAGTATGGTAATTGTCTTCAAGAAAAGTAGACAAAAATGATCTTTTAAGGTTTTAATTTCTAACAAATGGCTGTTTAGGAAATATAATTCAGAGGAGAAAGCTGTAAAATATGCATGATTTCTAAATGAAATTGAATATTTCCACTACAATGTAAATCAGGTGATTTTAAAATTTCAATTCTCAATTTCATTCAATTAAATTACAATTTTGACACTCATAGAGGTGAACTCACTTTTTGATCTCCTACTTGACACGAATAAAATTAATTCCAGTGTGTAATTGGTAGTCAATTTGTTGAAGAAACATGTGGTTAGACCAAAAAAAAAAAAAACAAAAAATAAAAACAAAAACAAAACAAAACAAAACAAACAAAACAAAACAAAACAATTTTGACATTTTTGTGAATTAAGTTCTCATCTTGACAAAAGTTGAATCTACTACTCCTACTAGCTTTTTAAGTTTTAACGTCATGAGATATAGAGGTTAGAGTTGTCAAAACGGATTTTGCCCACAGACTCACTCCTCCCCTACTAGGAGTTAGGTTTCAAAAACAGAGACTTGTCAAAGAGTGATTTTTTATGGCCAGTCTCATTCGCTAGCCCATTTTTACAGCTCTATTAAGGGTATAATTATATTTAAATGAATGGTTATCCTTTAATCAAGATTGGAATCTTTTTTTGAAAGGTGGCCAATGAGGCATATATTAGAAGTACTCAGAAATAGAGTCTGGCGGGACATCGTCCGAATACATAACTGTAGGAGAACTAAATGCAGAAGCTGCTAGTCTATGAGCTAAATAGTTCTCTGATCTAGGAATAAAATTAACTGAGTAATAATCAAACGAAGTAATGCGTGCTCTACAAGCATCAATGGCATAGCCCACGTAAGTCCGTACTGTGACAGCTTGATTTGTCAAATATTGTTGTAGGGTCAAACAATCTGTAAATAAGCGTATTGAGCGTTCCCCACGATTCCATAACCAAGACAAGGCTTCCTTGCATGCTATTGTCTCGGCCATAAGCGGTGAGAGACAATTTGATAAGGGTGCACTGAATGCCGATATATATTCTCCTTCCGTGTTGAATAAAATCGCGCCAACCGTAGCCCTTCTTGTAGCTGGTATAAAACCCGCATCGACATAACACTTTCGTATTGGTTCGGCAGCATCCAACCGTACCTCCTCCTGAGCAGCCTCCTCGTGCATCAGCTGTGCATCGGCAGTGCCGTGTTGCTGCTGCTGCCGTGGCACGGCAGTGGCGGTAATAGGGCTGCTGACGGCAGCCTGGTGGTTCACTTGGCGGTGGGCGGGGTGGACCCGTTGCCATGCAAGTGTGGTGGCTTCGGCCAAAGCTAACACTTTTCGTGGTCGCGGTAGACATGCATCCCATACCGCTCCGTTCCTGGCTCTCCAAATATGGTATAAAATTGCAGCTGCGTGAACAATTTGGTTAGTGTCTAAAATATTCAATAGATCACCAAACCAAACATGAAAAATATTTGTTGTTATCATGGGGATTGGAAGGTGAGATTGAGCCCAAATGGATGTTGCATAATCACATGTTACCAAAGCATGCATTGTGTCCTCATCCATCATTCCACACATAGCACATGTTGGTTGTACATCCACTCTCTTTATAACCAAGTTTGTTGTAGTAGGGAGGATACCACTCAAAGCTTTCCATAAAAATGTTTTCCATTTGGGGGGACTTTTAATTTCCATAGGCGCAGCCAATTCTGAGTGCCCGTATTATCATTAAGATTACCCATAATTGTTTTGTAGCCACTCTTAACAGTATAATTTCCACCCTGGTCATCATACCAATACCACATATCCTCATAATCTGGTGATACTGGGATTTTTTTTTATCCTAGCCACATCCGTAGGATTAAAAATATCTGCCAATATATCCGGATCCCAGGTCTGTGTCTCATGATCAATTAAACCCACCACTGCTGCATTATTCAAATATGGTGGCCTATCAGTATGGATCATTGGGTCTTGTTCATCCTGCAACCATGGGTGATCCCAGATGAGGGTTGTCCTTCCATTTCCAATCCTGCGCCTAATTCCTCCACAAACCATGCTCTGAGCTGTCATTATACTGCGCCAACAGAAACTGGGATTATTTCCTATTTTGGCATCATAAAAGGTCCCTTTTGGGTAATATCTCGCTCTGTAAACTCGTGAGACCAATGAGTCAGGTTTCGTTAAAAATCGCCACGCCTGTTTTCCCAGCATTGCTATATTAAATGCATGCAGTTCTTTAAAGCCTAGACCACCATACTTCTTTGGTATACACAACTTGTCCCAAGCCTTCCAATGAATTCCACGTTCATTCCCAGATCCCCACCAATATCGGTTCATGACCCGCTCAATAGCTGTGCAAATCCCCATAGGTAGTAAAAAGACACTCATTGAGTAAGTGGGCATTGCCTGAGCCACACTTTTCAATAAGATTTCCTTGCCAGCTTGCGATAGCAACTTCTTATTCCAAGAGAGAATTCTCTGCCTTATCTTGTCTTCAATATACGAAAAGGCTGCCTTCTTATTTTTTCCTACAAATGAGGGTAGGCCCAAATATTTCCAAAGTTTGGTGCTTGAGCAACCCCAAGAATCTGCGCCACTGCATCCCTATCATCATCCTGTGTATTCTTACTGTAGCATATGCTGGACTTATGATAATTTACCACTTGGCCAGATAAATTCACATACCGTGTCAAACACTGCTTAACCGCACTTGCTTCTTGCACATTTGCCTTAAAGAATAAAAGACTGTTATCAGCAAAAAATAGGTGTGAAATAAAGGGTGCCCCCCTTGCAACTCTGCACCCGTGAATCGCTCCTTGTACCTGTGCCTGCTGTAATAATAGAGAGAGTCCCTCCGCACAGATAATAAACAAATATGGTGACAACGGGTCTCCTTGCCTGAGCCCGCGAGACGGAACAATTGGCGATCCTCGGACTCCATTCAGTTTAATGTTATAAGACACAGTAGTCACACATAACATGATAAGTTCCACCCATATATTATTAAAACCCAAGGCTGTTAACATACTCCGTAGAAAGGGCCATTCCATACGGTCATATGCTTTTGCCATATCCAGCTTTAATGCACCCCATCCCATTCTTCCACATTGTTTTCTATTCAAAAAGTGGCCAACCTCTGCAGCAATCAAAATATTATCTGTAATCAATCTGTCATGTATGAATGCACTCTGTGTATCAGAAATAATATCATCCATGAGTGGTTTCATCCTGGCCGAAATTATCTTCGCCATGACCCTATAAATCACATTGCTTAGCGCTATAGGCCTAAGATCCGAGACCCGTTCTGGATTCTTCTTCTTTGGTATTAGAACCACATCAGTATCATTTAAATTGGCTGGGAAGGACCGTGTATTCAAACAGCTCACAATAAAATCCGATACATCACCTCCCACCACATCCCAGAACTGCTGATAAAAACCCGGATTCATTCCATCCGGGCCAGGCGCTTTATCTGGAAACATAGCAAACATGGCCGTTTTCACCTCATCTTTTTCAAATGGGCGCAACAATGCTTCATTCTGTGTGTGTGACACCCGGGGCAAGACATTGGCATAAAAACTTTTATCTATCTGAGACGGATTTGACGAGAAAATATTCCGATAATAATAAAAAATAGTTTTTCTCATGGCATCTCCTTCCACACAATCCCCATCATCATTCATAATTTTAGAAATTGTATTTTTCTTTCTACGGTGAGAGGCATACCTGTGGTAGAATTTTGTATTCGCATCTACCCCCTTCAACCAGTGTTGTTTCGCCCTCTGTCTCCAAAAAGCATCCTCCTGAGCTTCTAGCTGGGCCTGGCATTCCTCAAACGACGATATTCAGCTAATGAATATTGGTCTGTGCATCCCCGTAGCCGCAATTGTTCCCTACGTAGGCACCTCAATTTCTCATCAAATCTATGGAACTTATCACCTCCCCATCGTGACAATTTATTACCGCATAACTCGATACGGGCTTGTAAACCTCTATCCCTCCCTTCAGTCCATGTCGTCTCAACCACTCCTCTACAGCCTTCATCATGTAGCCAGGCCATCTCAAAACGGAACCCTTTTCTCCCACCACCTGTTCTTTCCCGAAGATTCAGAATCCCAAGGAAAAGAGCAGAATGATCTGAGCGTCGGGTTAGAATGTTTACGACACTTGCATCTCTCACCACATCTCGCCATTCCTGTGTGACCAGCACCTTATCCAACCTTTCTTCAATCCAGTCTACAGTCCCCTCCCCTCTTTCCCAGGTAAACGGGTATCCCTGCATGGGTAACTGAGCTAGCCCACATTCATCAATAGCTTCCCCGAAGCCCCGTAATAGTGCCTCTGGATGGGGATTTCCCCCACGCTTCTCGTACTGATATAAGAGATCATTAAAATCCCCTATAATAACCCATGGCAACTCAGAGCGATGTGATAAGGATCTGATGAATTCCCAAGAGTCATTCCGTCTTTCTCTTTGCGCATAACCGTAATACCCTGTCATCCTCCACTTATCAAACCCCGGCATTGTTACCTCAATATCCACATGATTTTTAGAATAACTCAACAGGCTTGCCGTACCATTCGTTCTCCATAGCAATGCCAATCCTCCTTTTGTTCCAACACTATCAACTTTAAACACATATCAAAACCAAGTTTGACCCGGAGTCGCTCCGCATGATCCTGGCCAACCATGGTTTCCATTAGAAATACAAAGTCGGGTTTCTTACTGGACACCATGTCCACAATCGCTCGAACTGTTCGTGGATTACCCAAGCCACGACAGTTCCAACTCAACGTACTCATGATGCTGGGCGGGTCTGGGAACCAGCACCCGCCATAAACAAGTTTTTTGACACATCTGCCATGGTAGTGTCCTGACCATCACCCCGCCTTTCCCCCTCATACCCCCCTTCCCTTCTTCTTTTCGAAACCACCTCCACCGGCTCCTCGGCTTCATCAACTACAACCGGCCGTGCCATGCCCTCTCCCACCACACCACCCTTCCGGCCTCCCTCATCCCGTACCCCCTCGGCTACCCTTGGTCGTCCCTCCACTGGGACCAACCAGCTCTCCCCCACCTCCCTCGGCCCACGGCCTCCCCCGACTCTCAATTCCGCATTATACGGGTAAAGATGAACCGGTACCGTAGAGACTCGGGCTTTGACACAGAATTTGTACGTATGCCCCAAGAGCCCACAAAAGAAACAGAATGAATGCAACCGTTCATACCTGAAGTTAATCCAACAAGTAGTCTTGTCCCGTTTCAACAACTTCATACGTCTTCGTAAAGGCTTATCCAGCGGGATCGAAACACGGATCCGATAGAATGCTAGCCAAGGCGCCCCCACAAACCTTTCATCATGCTTAACAAAAGTTCCAATAAAATTCCCCATCTGCTCAAGCATTGGTAGAGATGTATAACCCATAGGGACATCATGAAGTTGCACCCACATATCAACAGTGTTCAATTCAACATCAACCGGCAATACTCCATCCTCCACCATGCGGCATACCAGCGTGCTATTCTCAAATGCCCACGGACCACCATTCAGAACATAATCAACATCCGTTTTGTGAAAGAAAATGAATAAAAACAAGCCCTTATTGATTTCCGTTACCGTAACTCCCATCACCGGTTGCCAGACGGATGCCAAAACTTGCCTCATATACTCCAGTTTAATCAGGCGTGCCGTGAGAAACCTGCCTACGACACTCCAGGTCTGAACCGGTGGCTCGTCGCCTCCCTTATCTCCCCCCACCTCAACCGGTGCAAAACAGACGTCTTCTTCGTCGTTGATGCCGAACTCCTGTGTGCGTTGCGTAAGAGCCGCAATATGCTGCGCCTGTTCGTTTTCCGCCATATTGCCACGTCGAAGCAAGGAGCCTCTCCAACGTCGAACACAAACTGATCAAGAAACGAAGAAAAACCAGCGAGAAAGCTAGTGGAAACGATCGGAATTGTGCAAAAACCTAGCCAAACCCTAGGAGAGGATGCAAAACCCTAGAATTCTAGAGAGAGAATTTTTTTGGAATTATGTAGTTTATTTACAATCAAGATTGGAATCTAATTGCATGAAATTTGTTAAGATTATTTGAATATAATTATTTTGTATGAATTTAAAATTTTGAAGCATTATTTAATATTTACAATATTTTAATTGAAATACCGAATTACAAATTTTATTAAAAATAATAAAATATATTTTAGCCCTTTTTTTTTCTCAAAACAATAGTTCGAGTATATTAAATAGATAATTTTTTCGATTGATAAATGTATTCTTGATTCCTCTACCTTTTTTTTTTTTGCCTAAACCTAGTGAAGCACAAAGAGTTAATACCGATGCAATATCTGTTCGTAACTATTTTATCAATCTATTGAAGCACAAAAATCAATATCACCTCCATTGAAGCTTGAACCCACAACCTAATATGAGAGAATAACTTGGTGCCACTAAACCACAAAATCCATGATTAATTCTTCTACTTTAGTAAACTTATTCTACACAGTTTTTTTTTTCTTTCTTTCTTTAATTTTTCACTCCTTAAAAAAAAAAAAAAATTGTTCTCTCAGTATATCCATTTTTATTAATCAAAAGATTCATCCATCAATCAATTTCATTTTTTTAAAAATAAAAATCTGAAATCATATAATGAATCATATTCGATTCTATTTTTTTTTTTCTAATTAGCACCATTAATTTGTTAAGTGCCACGCTACCATGAAGAATAACCTTTAGATTATTATAAATAATAATAATGGTGTGGGCCGTGTGGCGTATTAACAAATTACAGAAAACTTAAGTCTTGTATGTGTAAGACCGTTTCACATGAGATGTGTAATATTTTTTTAGCTAAAATGTACTTCGTAATATTTTTCTATACACCCATTGAAAAGTATTACATATCTCGGGATCAGACGGTCTTACCTATCTGGAGATTGATTTGTTCTATTTATATTACTTTGTCATTATTTCATCTCCAAAAGTTTCGTTTGTCTCTACAAATATTGATTACTTCATTAGCTTTATTTTGTTGTCCTTTCATTAGGAAGGTGTTGTCGATGCTAGAGGTGCGACTTCTTGTCGAGTCAAATAGTTAGAAGGTTTGTCTAAGGTTCGAATCTCAGCGACAACAATGTAACGATTATGTTCAAAGTGGACAAATCCCTTGTGTGCACTAACACGGCAACACTTGATTATGTCAATCTACTGAGCCATTAAATCATCGTGATTTACATGCATCTTCCCAAATATTCTGTCGGGCCAGAATTAGGGAAGAAGATAGTTTGACGTTTAGCCTCTCTTAATCCACTAAAAAGGAAAAAGGAAGGCCTTGTAGGTTGGAGCCTTAGGCTCTATTCGTTTGGTATAGGCCAGGATTAGTGTGCAATTAGGTTTTTGTCAATGCTTAGCTAAGAGCGGGCTCATTAGTTGAAGTTTTTCTTTTATATAATTTTTAAAGACTTTCTAAAAGTTTGAATTAAATACCTACTGATTTTTAAAGACTTTTTAAAAATCTAAATCGAATATCACTATACTTTTAAAGTCTTTAAAAATTCATAAAATTCATGATTGAATACACCTCTTTAGAGTGATTGCACGTGAAGTGATTTTTCCTATGGATGTTGCCTGCAAAATCGTGGAGGAATGCTTGTGCCAAATCGTGGAAGCTAACAATAGAGCTATCATATACTCCGTATAATATAAAAATTTTTCATGTGGCTTGAGTTTCGTATCTATTGTATGCACATATTTTAAGCATTGGGTACTAAATAGGAATAAGGAAACAAGTTCTACTAGTCCAAGTTGTTTCCTTATCCATCCATGTGGGAATCACAAGCCTAACTCTTATTCCAAATTAATCTTCTTGTTGATTTACAAAATTTAAAGCCTAATTTTAAACTTACAGTCTTACATTCTTCCATTAGATTAGAGTTTACCTAGCAAGGCGGATTCTAATTTAAACTAGATTGAAAACTTGGCCCGCTTAGCTAGGAAAAGGTATCACCACACCCTCCCCCGCCCCGCAAACGTAACACTTCCCTCCCAATGCCTTGACAATTGGTTGATTTTTTTTTCCATGTAATGTTAGATCCAATGAGAAGATATAGTTTATTGGAAATTTGTATTAATGAGAAATCATAAATGAGTGGAGTAGATCTAACCAACGAGTGACCTAGGGTTCTTGAATAGGTTAACGTCAACTTGTTGATCTCTATTGGTAACTTCTTCTCTTCCTTTACAACGACCACTAATTTCAATTATGATCTTCTCTGCTAGTGAGGTTTGTGGCTTACTACTAGTGGTTTAACTATAATCACTTCATTATGTTCATGGTTAATTAAGAATACCTTTTAACTTGATCATGATAAGAAACAAATACAAAATAAATAAATAAAACATTCAAGTTCATTTCAGGTCATTTGTGTGTGTGTGTTCGTATGTAATTTTAATGTAATGCAACTCTCAATTCTAATCGAATCCATTCTACATTTTAGCAATTTTGATATTTTTGTTGGGAAATAATGGCAACGTCAACGCACGATCTGAAAGCCTTTTAAGAAGCACGGACACTATGGGTGTATGGTTGAAAGGAAATCTGTGTCGTGTTATAACAACACTACCTTAAAAGCGTTATTTGCCCGGTAACGATGCAGTTAGAACCCAGACACGCTTTCGACAGGCTACACAGACCTACTATGGACAACTTGCACTAGCAATCACATAGGCGAACCTCACTATTGCTCAGACTAGGGGGGAGAGAAGGAGAATAGAATATGTGACTTGAAGCCAGGTCTATTCTAAAGCGATGTTGGAAGCTGCTATTTATAGTAAGCAGTCCCTCCATCCCACCCACATGATGAACATAGTGTGTTGTCCAAACTTTAGCGCCTCCTTACAGAGGAGCGCACGGTGCGCTACTAATTAATGAAATGGAGAATTCTTTGAATTCAATTTCCATTCCATTTTCCAATGACAAAGTCAAAGGGGTGGAGGTGGACCAAAATTGCTTTCATCTTTAATTTTCCCAACAATCCCCCACAAACTTAAAGAGGAAAGGAAAATGATAATGTCTGAGCAATACAAATGAGCTGATCTTAATGTCAGTGTTTGAGAACTTGAACTGACACGTAGTGACACTGGGTAATTTTCTTCCCGAGAGTGATATGAATCTTGAACTCACCGATTAGATAAATTTTGAACTCGAATGCACACACCAACTCAAAAAACAAGTTCTACAAAAGTCAAACTCTTTGACTTCTTATGAACACCCTTAGTATTAAAGAATGTTATGTCTCTCTCAAATATAGACTTCTACCCTGTCAAAGTCTATCACAACATAGACTTTTAACTCTGACAAGTCTTACCGCATTACAGATTTTTATGTCTTTTCAAGTCTATCTCAATATAGACTTTTAACTCTATCAAGTCTATCTTAGTATAGACTACCATTAGAGGCTTATAGAGTAGTTAAAGACATAAATCAGTTGTAAGTCTTTTCTTTCTATCATGGGCATTGTTACTTGCAACGCAAACGACAGTTTGTGAATCACAATGTGATGGAGGTGTTGGACACCCCCACAATTGCACGGTTATCACCATGTTTTTTAGCCACTCAAATTCTTGGGATAACCCCATTATCTTTCATAAGAGGCGGTTAGCCCTTTTCTACTCAAGTTAGGGATCTCTTTAGGTCTACCTCAACATAGACCACCATAATTGAGTACAAGTCACCAAGAGCACTTTGTACTCATGTCATTATGCGGTGAATTCATTAGGTTTGTCTCAACAAAACAACCATTCTCAAAGAGTTATGAATTCATTAAGAGATGTAGCTCAACCTCACAAGTACACACACTGTAGGAATGACCAACTAGTGTACTATTTTGTAACGCTTTTAACTATTGGGAAATAATGACAACGTCAACGCACGATCTGGAAGCCTTTTAAGAAGCACGGACACTATGAGTGTATGGTTGAAAGGAAATCTGTGCCATGTTATAGCAACACTACCTTAAAAGCGTTAAGCGTTATTTGCCCGGTAACGGTGCAGTTAGAACCCAGACACACTTTCGACAGGCTACACAGACCTACTACGGACAACTTGCACTAGCAATCACGTAGGCGAACCTCACTATTGCTCAGACTAGGAGATAGAGAAGGAGAATATAATATGTGACTTGAAGTCAGGTCTATTCTAAAGCGATGTTGGGAGCTGCTATTTATAGTAAGCAGCCCCTCCATCCCACCCACATGATGAACATAGTGTGTTGTCCACACTTTAGCGCCAAAGGCGCTGCTCCTTACATAGGAGCGCACGGTGCGCTACTAATTAATGAAATGGAGAATTCTTTGAATTCAATTTTCATTCCATTATTCCAATGACAAAGTCAAAGAGGTGGAGGTGGACCAAAATTGCTTTCATCTTTAATTTTCCCAACAATTTTTACCAAACTATATCGATTGTATGTGTTGCCATGTTGGGGTTAGAAAATGGGCCGTCCAACCTAATGGCACATTGGAGCAATTGTTATACCATGGATTAATGTGAACAGTAGTCTTAATTGTGTATTTTTAGTATCAAAATTATAAACTTCTAGAATATAAGACTTTTCGTTTGAAATAATAACAAACAATGATGTCGACGACAAGGTACTTGACATTATAATGTATAATTTAAAAAAAAAAACATTATTCTAACTAAAAAATCATTTTGGCATTTTTGTAAAATCCAGTTAGGTGAAAGATAAAAAGAAATAGGCTAATAAAAAATATTAGAAAAAGAAAAGGTGAAACTTTTGAGTTTGTAGGAGGTAAAAGATGTAAAGTAAAATTAAAGGTTGAAATTTTAATTCATCAATTATCAGGAATTTCATATGTGAAATAGACAAAAGATTTGTTGGCACAACGAATTCTAACTAATACACATGTTTGCCATCTTTATTAAAGAAAAAATTTGGAATACTTTTTCTTTTCATTTCCTTTTTCTTTTTTTTCCCCCTTCATTTGTCTCTATTATTGCTCACATTTTCATACCCAATCAGCCAATCTTTAGCTTCTTTTTTTCTTTACCTCTCTTTATCGCAAAAGTTATACCATAGACCTAGATTCACCTTACAAAATGGATCCATGTCTAAATTACACAATTTATATAATGAATATTCACAATTTAAATTTATGAACATTTAGCATGTAAATTGAGAACATTCAATATGTAAATTATATATTTTTTTATTCAAATCCACCTTGCAATGTGGATCCAAGTCCACAGAATAATTTTCCTCTTTATCGTGTTTTCTTTTTACACTTCTCTTCGTTTCACTTCTCACTTTTTATATTCCTTTTTTATTATTATTATTATTATTTTATAGTTCGATTTATATCCAAGCTTTGACTTTAATTTCCCCTTTTTTCAGACTTTAGTTTTTTTTCTTTTCTTTTTTTTCTTTTCTTTTTTTTCTTTTAACCTCTTCCTTTCAAAGAAAAAGAACAAATAAATAAATAAATAAAAGGAAAGATAATTTATGTCATCCGAAAAGAGAACAATGAATGAAAGAGACACAGACAAATAAATATCTTAGAAAAGTAGAAATTAAAGTATAATAAATTGCTAAGCACCTGTGCTCAGATGATATATATGTGGCTCTCCTTGAAAGAAAGTCACAGGAATGAACCTCAGTAGTGGGATATTCTGGCTACATTAGTTGGATTAATACTTAATGAAAAAAAAAATGAAAAAAAAAAAAAAAAAAAAGGTATATGGCATTATATATATCTCCACTATAGGAGACTATAAATTTGACTCAAATTAAAATAAATTCTTCAACATATTAAAATTTTATTAGCAACTCATTTATTAATTGTTGTGTTGTTGGAAGGTTATGGGTTCAATCCTCAATGGGGGATATTGACTCTTTGTGCTTTAGTAGCTAAGAAAGTAGTTATAAGCAGATACTACATTATAACAGAGCCATTAGTACTAAAAGAAATATTTATATTTTATATATTCGATATATATATATATATATATATATATATATATATATATATATATATATATATTATTCAATTCCTGTGCGGTTAAATATGAACCATTGATCTTGCCTAAATCAATGTCCAGGATTAACAATGATTAAAAAATGCGATGGCAATTTGGTCTTTTTACATCTAGGTCAAATTTAAGGTGCGCGATTTTCCTTATTAAGGTGCATGGTTTTTGTGCTTAAGGTGCGTCAATTGTTGAAAACTTAAGTACGTCGATCTAAAGTTTAGGTGTGTGATTTTCCTTTTTAAAGTGCATGGCTTTCCTTCTTAAGGTGCGTCAGTTGTTGAAACTTAAGGTGCGTTGGCGTAAAGCTTTATGTGAGTGGTTTTCCTTCTAATGGTACGAGATTTGTGTGCTCAAGGTGCATCAGTTGTTGAAACTTAAGGTGCGTCGACCTAAAACTTTAAGTGCGCAATTTTCCTCCTTATGCAGTTATGCGTGATTTGTAAGCTTAAAGTGCGTCAGTTGTTGAAACTTACGGTGCGTCATTTTAAAACATTAGATGCGTGATTTATGTTCTTAAGGTGCTTTGTTTTGAAACATCGCCTGCATTTCTGACCAATAATAGCGTAAACACTAGAGAATATTTGCAGTACAACAAAATTGAACCCAACCGTTCACAAAACACAGATAGTATCATCATTAACTACCAACATTCCAAACATACACTTGTAACCTTGTACGTTCATTTCATTTGGTTGTGCCAACTGCCAAACCAAAATGTGAGTCAATCCGCTTAGAAGAAATCGAATTCAAGATAGTTGTCTGGATTTTGATGGTAAGGGAGAGCTCCACCAGCAGCTTTCTTGGTTGTTGATGGCGGTGGCGGGGCTTGAATCCTCTCAAAGTCGACCGGCCTGGGGACCTCGGGAGGGCTAGCACAGCGGATTAATGCCCAGTTTACCCCTTCGAAGAATGGATGCTGCTTAATCTCGGTAGCTCCCCGTTTATATGCAAGACGATTCTGTGGCTCTTTCACGAGCAGGCCTCGAATCAGATCTCTAGCAGAAAAGCTGACAACCGGGGATTCTGGGAAGCGTAGAGGCTGCCCAACCACGTTGAAAAGGGTAGCTCGATTGTCTGATCCCTTGAAAGGCGTCTTACCAAATAACAACTCGTACAGGAAGATCCCGAAAGTCCACCAGTCCACAGCACTGCCGTGCCCTTCCCCTTTGATAATCTCGGGCGCCAGATACTCGTGGGTCCCCACGAACGACATGGAACGAGCTCCGGTTGGCTCAGCAATGAGCTCGGGTAAGGGGCTGACTTGGTTACCAACTTCGTTCTTGGGCTTCCTCTCTTTCTTCGACTTGCCCGAGAAAAAGCGGGGCCCAAAACACGTCGTGGGGACCGCACAGGATGGCTGGATGCAGGCAGGCTGGACACAGTAAACAGAATTTTTCCTGAGGGGTTCCGTCTCGAGAGACGATGACTTGACAACTGTTAGACTGACAGCACAGCGAAGGGAGAGGTCAAAGTCGGAGAGCATAATGTGCCCATCGTCCCTGACAAGGACGTTTTCGGGCTTGAGGTCACGGTAGACAATGCCAAGCATGTGAAGATATTCTAGAGCAAGAAGGACCTCTGCAACATAGAACCTGCAATTTATGATAAAATGAAATCATTATCCGTTCCATAAGGTTCAATAATGCCGAGTTTGGCTACAATGGAATTACTGAAGTTTGGCTAGTTGATAGCATTAGCTGATTGTAGAAAGATGTTTGGTAAATTAACTGTTAGCTGATAGCTGATTACATACAAAATGACTTCCTCAAAAAACTGATAGAAAAAGCCGCTTTGAACAGCTTTTTGGATCCTAGTGTTTTGGAGTAATAAGCTATTACAAAAAGTTAATTAATCAAATATTCATATTGGTTGTTTAACCAAGTCAAACAACTAATAGTGGTCAAACAAGCCAAAATTAGCTGATAGGCTAACTATTTTACCAAATAGGGCCTAAGCAAGAATAAGGTAGAATCTACGATAAGAGTTAATTATGTCAAAATGGGCAAGAATTAAATATGAAGTAGACACCACCCGTGAAATGTTTTAAGGCAACTTATTGATGATTCGTTTGCATTTGAGAGCTATTTAGAAGTCTTATTTATTTAGGAAATCAATGACTATCATATATCTTGTTGCAGTTGCATATAGAACCTTGCAAAATGCCAAAATCCGACTTACTTCTAGACTTCTTACTCAGATTAACCATTTTTGCTTAAAACGTTGCTTATATAAGGCATGCTTGAAGCAGTAATTGTAAATAAATCATCCCGCACCAAAGCATGCACAAAGGGTAATAACTAAAATACAAATAGATGAAGAAAGAAGGCAAAGAGTCATACTTCACTGCTTGTTCAGAAAAATGCTTTCCCGGTTGCCTCTGGCGAAGTGTGTGCAAGTCTCCTCCCGGACAAAACTCCATCACGAGACACGAAAACCTTTCTGTCTCGAAATGGGTATATAAACTTGGAAGAAACGGATGGTCGAGAGATTGAAGTATCTCTCTTTCTGTTTGAGCACGGAGCAATTTCTTTCGGTTTGCCAACGATGCTTTGTCCATAACTTTCATGGCAAAATAACACTTGGTGCCACACAACTCCGAAAGATGTACACTCCCGATATCGCCACTCCCCAACTTCTTTATCAATCGGAAATGCCTCAATTCCATGACCCCATCTCTAGCTCGGACAGCTTGGATGGCTTCCCATCTCGAGTCATTTGCTTTGTGAGGCTTATTAATGCTGCTGCTCAAGCTACTACAGGTGCTATCATCACTTACGTCAGTGCTCGTGCTGCCCCGGTAGATGCTACTCTTCCCGCTCTCCATAAAATCAGCTTGGTCGCTAATTTTGGCACTTCCACTCGTCTTAGCAATGCTGCTGGTGCCATCACTAACTTTGGTCGAGGCTAAAACATTCCCGGTATCTTCCTTTTCTAGATCATCTCTTAAACCCAAAGGTGGATGCTTTAAAATACCCAAAGACAAGCTCGAATCCAATCTTTCAACAAGAGAATTGGCAGATCCATTCTGCTGGGAGCTGTGTGGCTTCTTGTTGACTGGTGTATCTGTTCTAAGCTGCTTAGACGCTTCTCGAACATCCCCCGGAAACTCTTTGGGAGTTAAATCCTCAACGTTGCAACTCTTTGAGATTTGTGTGTTAGAATTCCTTTCGGATGTCTGATTTCCAGTTGTCCTGTTCAGCCTCTCCAGGGAACCTTTCACACCAGATTTCGACGCCATTGAAACGAAAATAGATACCTAAATTTTACCCGGCTGGCCAAGCACATATTCGGCTGCCAAGTTTAATTCATGAACCCTTCTCCTATCAATCTATCATCACTTGCAACTCATTCAAGAATGGAAGCCTCTATCACCACAAAAATAAGAAAAAAAATCAGCAACATAATCTAGTGCTCTATGCCAAGTTGCCAACATTATAATTTATTACATGATTGCATCAATGCAACAACTTAATACCCAATTTTAAGAACCCTAAACCAGCATTTAGAATTAGAGAAGGATGAGAAAGCAAATACAGGGCAAGAATAAGGATTTAATACAAGCAAAAGCACAAATAAATGACATCTAATCTTATAAAACATTAGATTCTTGAAAAGCAAGAGGCAGATCAGTATCATGAACAACAGAAAAACAGAAATTACATGGACTAAAAGAACTAGCTACCTTGAAAAAACCTCAATCTTTGTTCCAGTAATTGAGAGAGCCTTGAATCTTCAGATACAAAAACACATACAATTGACTGAGATAAGAAAATGCAGCTTTTGTAAAACACAGAGAGTCATCAAACACTAGAAAGCAAGAGATAAGAGCAAAGAGAAAGAGATAATGAAGAAAGAGATGCAAAAGGGTGAATGAAAGCACACAGATCTTGGGCAAAGACCCACCTCTTTCTAGGGCAGCCCTACCAAGAGAGGATTGAGAGGCCCACAAAGACCCAGATGCTAAAAAACAAAGTAAAGGTGTATAGCGAAAGAAACCCAGCAGGCAAACCAGTGGACCACCCGTTCAAAAGCGCGAGAGAAAAGCAGCCTAAAAGATGGTACTTTGAAGTCACAAATATCAGAACTTTACGGGTTTTCGCTTCGCTTTAGCAATGGAGGGGAAATGCTTTAACAATGGAGGAGAAAATTAAAGGAGCAGAATTCCTGTAGAGAGAGAGAGATAAAGGCAGAAGGGGGGGACCTGCTAAGAAATGTGTGGGGGAGTGAGAGTGAGAGAGCAGGAAAAAGAAGGTTTTGATTGTGTAATTGCTGGCTGCTCCTCTGAACAAAAAACTAAAGAAATGTGCCAAAACCGAGGAGTTGGGGGAAGAATTCTACCAAACTTATATTCCATTCTCCCTAAATGTTGAATCCCAATTTCAAGAATAGGAAAAACAACTGCACAGACTTATCTCAATAGTTTAGTGTACAGTATTTGAAGTAAGAGACTAAGGTTCGAACGACGATAGTGTGAGAATTATATTCAAAGTGAGCAGATTCCTTGTGCGCACGGACATTTGGCCCTGCCTACTAATCCATTGAGTCACCGTGATTTACATCCTCCCACATACTCTATCGTGTAAGAGTGTGGGGGGCCCTTAGAGTTGGAGATTCAGCCTTTATGGAGTAAGAACAGGAAAAACACTCCCACCCAACAAAGTATTTATTTCCGCTCGCTCCGAAAAATACAAGAGATGATCCATGTAGAATCTGTCACCTGTAAAAATTGAACTCGAATTATTCTGAATTCTTCCGCGAACTCATTTACCACAAGAGCTACCCCATTAAATTATTTCAATACTTTTATATCCTTCATTGAGATTACCATATTCTTTAACACTTATTTACTATACTTTTTTTAGGCAAAATCTCTAATAAAGATTTATAAGTATTGTGCTTTTCCTCATGTTGGAAATTTTGTGTGCTTTTTCATATTAGGATTTTTATAAATCTTTTGAAATATACAATGTCAATCCATACTTGTACTTATTGTCCCGATTCACTAACTATAATTGTGTATATTTTTAGATAGTATCAGATACTATTAACTTTTGTCTTCATAGGACCTAATACAATCCAAAACTAAATACATGAATATACCTAATAGAAAAGATATATGTGTTCATCGCTACCTTAAAATTTTATATGATTAAATTTAAGAAAAATTTTATAATATTATAAGTAAACTGTCATATTTTTCAAAATAAAAACGTTAAATTATAATTTTTAATTTTTTTTTTGAATGCTACTAGCTCTATTACAATGTAGTATCTGTTCATATACTTTCTCAACCTACTGAAACACAAAGAGCTAATAACGCCTCCACTGAGGCTCGAACTCACAGTCTTCCAAATGGAAGTCCAACCCGGGTACCATTGGACCACATAGTCCTGGTAAATTATAATTTTTAATTAGTGATAGGAAATATGTAGAAGAAACTACCGTCTCCCCTTGTATGTTGGCAATGTAAGGAAAGAGCCTATCCGAGCAGGATTTGTCTAATACAGCACGTTTCTCAATCGGGCACCTAACCGCAATACACTCTGTACAACATACAATTAAACTTAGGATATGGTCTCGGTCATATCCGATCGAGAATAAGACCCTTATCATCTGCGACGAATTCCTGAATTGACGGAACGACTTGCATGGTCACATCACATCAAGTTGTCTACAACAATTTCTTTGAATAGATGCAAATATTTATTTGGAATCTTAATAGATATTTTTTTATCGTACCTTTCAAAGATTAAAATGTTTAAGTATTAAGTTAGAATGTTTATATTATATTAAGTTTTATTATAATTTTGAGTTTCAATTTGTGTGTATATATTATATATTTTATTTAATTGTTTGAATTTATTTATTAAGATGAAAATATGTTGTAGATATTGTTAGGGAATTTTTAAATGAAAGTTGTAACTCTTTATTTAAATTCCTACCAAATGATTATAACTCTTCATATTTAATTTTGAATTTGAAGTTTGAATGAGTAATTGTATCATTTCATAAATTGATATATAATTTTGAATTTAATAGGCTCTATGATTCTTAGTATTATTGCTGTGATCTTTATATTCAAATAATATAATTACTCCATTAATTGTATAATTGGAAAATGGCATGCATGCAGTACAAAGTCATTAACACTTCATACCTAATTACCATCCTGATTATTTTTATAGGAGAGAAGTTTACTCCCTTAATAGTTGTTATTCCTCTTTTGATTTACTGCTTTATGATGTATGAAAGTTTATACATGTTTTTTTTTCTTTCGCTAAACGATTTGCGAACATTAAATAGGGAGTCTGTTTTTATGTTAGGGTGTATTAAGCGGTTCTCACACCTTCTTATCACTTGTAATGTCTTGAGTTTAGATGAATTGTTATTGAGTTCGTGCACAATTTAATTCTCGACTATAGTGATTTTTCTCGATTTAGTCATAAACGACACTTTGTACTTAATTAAATCCTCGACTTTGATGGTTTTACTCGATTGAGTCTTCTGTTAAGATAGCTTGATAATTTCACCTTTATCAATACTCAATTTAGTCTTAGACTATAGTAATTTTACCCAACACTACTACAAAAAAGGCCTTTACGTTGGTTTTTTGGCCCCATTTAACGTCGATTTTCATTCGACGTCGTCCTTCTAGACGTAGTACATAACAGATACGACGTCGGTTAAAAACCGACATCGTATATTTTTTTTATTTACAAAATTAACTCTATTAGTATAAAGACGGTGTTGTATGCTTTTAAAACAAATAATTAATATACGACATCGGATATTTTTTTTATTTAAAAAATTAACTCTATTAGTATAAAGTCGACGTCGTATGCTTTTAAAAAAAATAATTAATATACGACGTCGGCCTTTTAGTTAAGGCCGACGTCGTAGTGCAAGTTAATCTTCAACTATAGTGGTTTTACCCAATTTATTAGTCATTGACTAACGATTTTTTTGATTTAGTCTTTGATTCTAACCGTTGAAGACTCAATTTGGTAAAACCATCAAAGTCGATGACCTAATTAAACACAAAAAGTTGTTTAGAACTAAAGCAAGAAAGAAAAATCATTGTAGTCAATGATTAAATTTGGTATTAACTCAATTGTTATTCTCCTTTTACCTTAAAAAAAAAAACAAACAAAACAAAACAAAAATGTATGCTTGTCATATTTCAAAAAAAAAAAAAAATTAACTAGATGTGAATAGGTAAGTTAAATAAAATATAAACAGTTCATAATCAATTCTAAGTTGTTGACAGATTACTAGTTTAAATAAATCAAAAATATTTTACATTCTATAATCTTAATCAAATATGTAAAATGTAAATTACTTTATTTTGTTCTCTTCATAATCTGATTACATTTTCTTATGATCATTACTGAACTTGAAAGAGAATTATTTAATCCATAATCTCAAATCTCAGTACTGTAATTAAATCAAACTTACTAACAAACAAATGTGTTTACCAATTGATTTTTTTTTTCTTTAAAAAAAAAAAAAAAAAAAAAAAAAAAAAGATGAATATGAAGTTCCTAAATTGAAAAGTAGAAATCACTGAATAAAAAATGACAAATTAAAGAACAGAAAACAAAATAATTAATGTAATAGCAACCTTAATTTTTCAATTTCTCACTCTTTTCAAATTGGCAATCAAAATTTGATTAATTCATAATTTAAGCTACATGAAAAGTACTATTAAAAAAAATAACTATTGAATGCTGTTTAAGTAATTATAGATGGAAGGGCAACACTATATAGGAAATGGTATGATGAAATCTCAGTTACACTTTCTACTCTAAGCATTCATTTATGAACTTCTTCCTCCATCGAGATATAGCTCATTATGATCAAGAGAGCTCCGTTATCACACGCTCACATTTATCTTCCAAAATCTTTACTGCTTCAGTGAACAGAACCTCGGGGGGCAAAGCTCCAGCCGATTCAATAGTAACTAGAAAATTTGCAGGAGTAACATATATGAGTTGGCCATTCAAGTACTTATATGAGTAAATAAGTGCTTTACATATATGAGTGGCCACTAGTCATCAGATTTATTTTCCTTTTTTCTTTTTTTTTTTTTTAGTTATCAGCTGGCTAGTTATGACTTTGAGCAAAAGTGTTCCAAAAGTTGTGTGAACAGAATGCATAGGCACATGGAAATACTTACAGATGAAATGATCTTTTACGCGTTGTAGAGCCACATTCTTCTCCCAGCCTTCTTCCCTAATGCACTCCCTACAAAGGGTACAAGCCCTTGGTCTTGCTACAGTTGCCCTCTTTTTACCTGTATGAGGGACTCGAAAACATGTTATGCTCTCATTAATAGATGTTGTAATTATTCATCATCGGTTAATGACGGTTAAGAGTCCCACATTGATAAAATAAAAGAGAACATATGGATTCATAAGACCATGGGTTAGACTAGCTAATTGGTTGAATTTAATCTTTTAATATGGTTTGGCCCATGTACATTATAGCCCAGTTGAGTGACCCTAGCTCAATCTTTGTTCATAACAATGACCAAATGAGAACCCCTCCTCCCGTGAGAACCTGCGAACCAACATGAATGCACAGAAACGTCTACGTAATTGCACACAAAACTATTCCGGGGGTAGATTGTGTGCATTGTGCACTGGAATCTGAGCTTGTGTGCATTTATGTACAAGTTCGCAGGTTCTCATTGGAAAATCACCCATCCATCATCTATTTATATGAAAACATATGCTTCTCTTTTACCTTTGCCAATATCTTCAATGTCAAATACTTTAACCGGACATTTTTCCACAAGTTGTTCTGCTTCATCACCTTCAATTTCTCTTAATAATACAACCTGTAAGTAGGATAAATTTTCTTAAAGTTAAACGCAACCCAGGTATTGAATAAATGAGAAAACAAAAACTAACACCAAAATAAATCCCACATTAACCCGCAAATGAGGAAAGAATACTATAGAAAAAGTGTGAAGGGAAATCAAAAGGAGGAAGCAGTTCTCATCACCTCAGGAAGCATCCTGTACCAAGCAGTGGCCACCGGTGACCACTTTGCATGTGTCTTACCAATGCCTTTAACAGCATGTGCTTCGAGTTCTATTTCCTACAAAATGAAGTGGCTTTTAAGTTTTATGATAAGCAAAACAAACACTTCAATGCAGACAAGACAAAACCAAATTAAAGATAACAGTAAGGCACCATTAACTGAAAATAAGGTAATTTCTAAAGCTAAACGGATAAGGTATTTATTATTTAACAGGCAACTGCACAGAGAAACATGTCGGAGATGAAAGTGGCAACCTGTCCAGCCCCAAGTCTAGCTATCGTAATATCTGGGTACTTGGGGGCAATAGGATTGTTGGAAAATTCTGGTAGAGAATCTTGACTGCAGCTGAATGAAGTATAAGTTTTTGGCTTTGACGCTGAACCGGACGCTGAACTGGACGCTGAATTTTCTGTGGACAGCACAAACTCGCTGCCGTTAGGTAACCATTTCAGCTCACTTGATTTGACAGAAATTCTCTCCTTTTTAGCTTTCTCACAGCGAACGTGAAGACTGAAAACAATTGTGTTCTTTTCATTGGGTACATCATTTTCTGCAAAGATAAAAGAAACTATTCATCACTGTACTGCTCTAAAATGCAATCGTCAAATAGCATATAACACATACATACTTATATACTGTAAAGGCAATGTATGCTTGGAGAATATGAAACAAAAAGTGATCCAGGGCAGTAGGAGGAGAAAGAACAAATGGATGATTAGAAGAAAACAATGGCCATGCAATCTATTAATTGTACTTGGAGCAAGATAAAATAAAAAGGTGTCTGTGGAAGTCATATAAACTAAGGATCAGAAAGAGACCTGACATATATTCAAACAGTCGGGGATCAACTTTAAGCGGGATGAGACCAAGTCTATGGGCAAGCACCTCATCTTGGATGATAGATGTGTTGTTTGCAATTAGAACTTTCTCAATTGCCATAGTTGGAAGCTGCATTCAAATCATACACAAGTACCAAATGTTAATTAATATCTAAAAACCACATCAACAGGTAGCCAGAAGCAATGAGAACAAAAAAAAAAAAACAATAGATGCAAGAATGTCTCATGCGTTTTTGTAAAGTTATCTGAAGTTTTTATGAATATTAGACAATAAAAAGAGATAAATTTGTTTTTTTTTAAAGGAACTTATACTTCTCAAACTAATGCACAAAGCTGACATCACCACACTGGATCAACTCGTATCGAGTACGGGTACTGAACTCTAGCAACTTTTTTTTTGAAATAGCAACTTATTAGCTGCCAGCTTTAATTTTTTTGGATACAACTTTTTTGGTTGATAAGCAAAACAGGGTGCACCAAAGTGATGCCTGGAAAGCTTTACAAACAAGTCATACATGCATATGGCATTAAAACTCCCTAGATGTTCTATAATATAAGCCTAGGCTCCTCTTTATCAACAACAACAACAACAACAACAAAAAAAAACCTCAAACATGCATATATCAATCTACACTCAGGAGTAGCAACTACATAAAAATCTTTTGTTTCTTTCATTCCAGATGGCACATGAAACAAAAAGGAACGACAGAACCCTTTCCTATTTCCTCTAACAATCTTAATTTGCAGTTGCTTCAAGCAAAGTTAACGCACTAGCTCTACTAAGCTAATTCTTCTAATATGATTCAACCAATGTTTTTACACCCTGAAAATTCCTTTTGCATACACACACACCTCGACTTTCAAAGGATGTTTTAACAAGAGAACAAATGTTCTTGGTTGAAAACAATTGATATATAAGAAAGCATTAGCTTTGGAAACTTGTGTTAGAACTTCAGATAATGGAGGTCCTAGGAATCCTTAGATCTTTGCTGCTTCAGCAGAGCCAATTAGCTTAGGCAAACTACTTGCTGTTGATAAAGCAGAGCAATTAAACATACATACTTTTATTCCCAACATATTTACCAACTCTTCTGTGATAAGCTTTGAGATTGATGTTAGCTATCCTATTTGTACTTCAGTTCTTTAGCAACGATTTAAATCAACAAGAAAAAATGTCCACTGTAGCCACCAATAAAAGTTAGGTTGTTTTTAAAAACACAAAGCAACAATAATGTAATAGCAAAATGACATACCAAGCCAGTTGATAGATATGCATTAGAAAAAAAAAAAAAAGATTCCAATTTTTAATAAATAAATAGTTGAACACAGATAAGTTTTCAGTGCCCACCTCTGCAATGAGGATTCTGCGGAATGCATTGGCAACTGCAGCATCGATACCAATCATGTCGAACTCAATATCATCTTCACTAAGCTTCATAACTTCAACTCTAAAGTTGTTTCTGAACTGTTCCGATCGCAAGCTGTTATCAACACCCATCGAAGCAAAGGCACCCGAGTATTTGATTTTGTCCGTCTTCAATTATGGAAACAAAAATAATTTTTTTTTAAAAAAATTATATATAGCCTTCAAGAAAATACAAAAAAGTTTGCCTTTTAGCAAAACAAAGGTTCACATACATTGGTGGGAGCTATGTAAGTGCAGAGAACGCGAGTTCGCAGGTTCTCGATATGAGAGGGTAGCTGTCCCTGTGGCACGTCCGGCAAATCCCATACCGGAACTTTCTCAAGATTCATTAGCTCGGTCTCCGACTCCGACTCCGACTCGGTGGAGGTGGACATGTCGCCGGCTACTCGTGTTATGGCTCTGTATTAGGGTTTCAGGGGTTGGGGTTTGGGGTTTTGATGACTAGAAAGGAATATTTGGCGGAACTAATTGCTGTCTGGCCTGTTGCCACTTCTCATTAGACACGTAAATTATTTATACAGTTAGATAATTATTAATTCTTTTTTTTTTTTTTTTATTTGAGATAATTATTAATTCAAATAGTCAATTCATTAATACCCAAAATCGTCCTCGACTATAGTGGTTTTTCTCAATTTCGTCCTAAACGACTTTGGTGACCTAATATCGTCCCAGACTTTTGTGTTTCGCTCAATTTAGTCCTAGACTTTTGTGTTTTTGCTCAATTTAGTCCTTCATTTGTTATTCTGTCCATTTGGTGTTAAATAAATAGACAATTCAGTAATTTTAATATTGACATCTCTTTACTCATAGACATGTGAACTGCGAAATCCTTTTTTTTTTATGAATTACTCCCAGAATTACTCCTAAAACTGCGAATATAAAATTTGATTTGCAGGTCCGAGAGTAATTCTGGGTGTAATTCGTACAAGAAAGAGGAATTTCGCACTTCACAAGTTGAAAGTAAAGAGAGGTCAATATTGACATTACTGAATTGTCCCTTTATTTAACACCAATTTGACGGAATAACAAATGGAGGACTAAATTGAGCGAAACACAAAAGTCTGGGACGATATTAGGTCACCAAAGTCGTTTAGGACGAAATTGAGAAAAACCACTATAGTCGAGGACGATTTTGGGTATTAACTCAATAATTTATTAAGAGGATAACATGTCAAATAAATCCTCCAATTATATATCAAAGTTTAATTAGACCATCAAATTAAAAAAAAAAAAATCAATTAGACCCATAAATTTATGCAATTAACATATTTATCAGGTTATCTAAGGTAACATATCAATTTTACTTACATGACATCTTAGGTAAAATCCTACTAAAAAAAAATTATTTTTAAAAAAATAAAATTGTATGACGTTTCGCTTTTCCGACTTAACGGAGAAGCTCGAGCTTCTCCGTCAAGTTGTCATAGACAAAGAAGCAATGCCAGCTAAGTTGCCATGGACAATTGCCAAGCAACTTGGTTGCCATGGCGAGCTTCACCATCCAAAGATTGGTCAATGCAGAAGCCCACTAAAGTTCTTCGTCCATGGCAGCCAAGTTTTCATGGTTTTTTTTAAAAAAAATATAGATGAATATTATTATTTTAATTTTATAAAAAATACAATTTTTTAAAAAATATTAATATAACTGGCATTTTATGTGGCATTCTACGTGGTAGGTGATTTAAGAGTAACATAATCACGTGTTAGCACGGGCGACTGGTTCTTCGTCTGTTTTGGAGTCGTGGTATTCTATACCACCACCGTGTATTTCTCATTTGGTTGTTTATTAATGCATATCTTTCTTCCGTTTCAAAAAAAAAAAAAAAAAAAAAAAAAAAAAGTAACATAATCAAATAGGTCAATTCTCTTCCAAAAAAAAAATAATAATAATAATAATAATCAAATGGGTCGATTGTACAAATCTAACAAGTGCAAGGGTCTAATTGGACATTTTTTAGTTCGAGAGTCTAATTGCATTTTAGTATATAGTTTGAAGGTATATTTGATCATTATCAAGAAAAATTAATTATATACGTGATCATCTTTAATGCCTAAAATTATACACGAAATAACGATTTCAACCCACCAAAAACTATTTTCGCCACCAATATATTACTTAATAAAGTAATAGATTTGGTCCCTTAAGGACTCACTACATATTTGGTCATTCAAGAACTAAAGACACTTTGCTTATAACTTAAGAGTTAAAAGATGATCATTTGTATAATTTAAAGACTAAATCTACAACACATGTATAACTGAATGATCAAAATGCAATTTTTCCTTAATTAATATAATTCGAGTTCCTTATTAAAGATTTGTCAATTACCAATAATTCATGAAACTTCATTTGAAATAATTTTTTTTTATTTCGAGAGATAATTGTAGATTTGTAAGAATATGAAGCATTTTCTTATTCCACAAGTACAATACGTACATGTGCTACGTGAGGGAAATATGGTGGCGAATTTTTTGGCAAAGGCAGCTTTTGCAAATCAAGTGGGCTGTCATGTCCTCAAGGAAGCTCCTCCCGAGATAGAAGATCTTCTCAAGTAGGACATGTTGGGAGCAACTTTCAGTAGACTGTAGACGTTTATGATTCTTGGGTATCCCCTCCGTTTTCATCAAAAAAAAAAAAAATTCTTATTTATTTTATTCAAATTAAAATTTATCAATTAAATTGATTGGTTAACCTATTTAACCTTTAACTTTTCCTAACAATATACAAGTACAAATTTAGACTGCACTCACATGTTTTATTGACCTATTAAAAGAAGTACAGCATCTAAAATAAATCATGTAATTCCTACTAAAGTAAAATATTCATTTTAAAATGCATATAGGAGATATAAACACAACTATACATGATAAGTTTAAGGAAATTCCAATAAAAAATTACTCGTAGTTCAAATTTTCATATACAAGAAGTTGCAGAGGAAGATAATATAATGTTGAAAACATACACATGTTAAATTGAATAGTTCAAACTTGATTTAATTCATTATAATACAAACATTTCAGATGTCCTAGCAGCAATGAGTTAACACAATTACTTCTCAACTCCAATCACATATTAGCCAAAGCTATTCCATGTTGAATATTGAAGTACACTATATGAAAAATATTTTCATCATCTAAAAACCAAGATTCAAATAGTTAAATACATTGCAGTATAACACAATCTGTTGACAAGAGGAAAGAAAGGGTGGATAGGAGGGCGTAGCATATGTATATAACAGAGATGATGTGCGTAGAGAAAATAAGTACAGCAACTCAAACGTCACGGTCAGTAGGTAGGGATTGCAGAAAATCTGTAACCTTGAGCGCCTCTCCAAGAATAATAAGCGATGCGTGTCTCATAAAATCCTGCAGAGTTATAGCGATCATAAATTGTTGATGGCTGTTGGCTGTTTTAGCGATTAAAAATAGAAAATAAAAGCCAAAAAGCCTGAGAAAAATATAAAGGCAAAAATGTAGAATGGCAAGTTCAGTAACAGACATAAAAGCCACTAATAAGAGGGTAACGGTAAATTTACCAATATTCTGCCTAAGATGTAGCATTGGCACCTACTATACTCTACCTTGTACTCCGTAATAATCTTGAGTGCCAAGAGACAGTTAATACTTAATAGCTTATGCTTACAAGCTAATCTACTATAACAGGGCAACATCAAACAAAACAAGCTATCCCCTCATTATAGTTTGCTTGCATCTCACCAATCACCACAAGGGCTGAGTTTAGCAGTTCACTTTTTGGTTTTGCAATATAGACAGCTTAATATTTATGCTTATGAGAGCAAATCTACTTAAATAGGGATAAAACAAACTAAGCAAGCTTTGCCCCTTGGTATGCAGATGGCCGCATCTTGCATTCACGCCACAAGTGTTGAATTAACAAAAAGAGTGGAGATCTTTCCTTGTTGCTAAATATCAAGAATTTAGTTGTCAGTAGTGGTGAAGAAAAAAAGACCATCCCCCCCAAAATCAACTTAGAGCCTAAAGAGGAGAGTTTGGTCCACAATAAGCTGGCAATCTGCCAAAGTAAACTTTATATAGTAGAAGTCAGGGGCGGAGGTACGTGGGTATAAAGTATCGATTGACATCGATGTCAATCGTTACATAAAGTACCATTAAAAATTATTATCGATAATACATACTATAATTACATAAGGAATATATAATGATAGCATACATGATCAATACTAATGTTAATTGACATTGTAAATTTTTACTATAATTCTGGCCCCCGGTGGCTCCGCCCCTAGTAGAAGTTATGCCTATTTACTAAAGATCATTTTTGAAACCTAGAAGCTATATTTATAAATTATTGATAAACTCTATATGTTTCATGTTAAAGCATTCTTCCACCTACATCCCTTGAATCTTTTACTCATTGTTATGAGCTATGCACCTAAGTTTAAACAAGATGTTAAGCAGCAGAAAAAGTAATAAAATTATAGTCATAAACATGTCAGTTTTCCTTTACCTGGGAGAAAGGTTAATAACCCCAGTCCTAAAAGACCATATGCTTGGGACCGTTCTCCTGGCATATGGCCGGTGAGGATGAAGAATGACAGAACGAGAAGAAGACATCCAAGTAAAAGCAGAAAAATTGCAAGGGCAAGGGACTTCCATGGAACTTGATCAAAAGATTTTGGTGAATAGTCATATCGGAGGTCACCTCGTCTTGCCTCACTGCCATAATATTCATCACCTTCATCAGCCGCAAGCCGGCTGTAACGAATATTCCGCTTAGTAGCCATTAACCCAACTCTTAGTTCCAAGCAAATGTCTGCAAGCTCAATTTTAAAAAGGTTTGATTGAAAAATGTGAGAGAGGTACTAACACTACTAATGAGAACTTTACAAAGTCACTAGAGAATCACAAGAACTCAAGTAGAAGTACACAAAATTTTAGAAAAAGACATGGCATATCGTCAGTACAGAAGAAAATATTTCATCTTTAACATCATGTAGATTGTAATGATCATTCTTTCTTGCGTGCATAAGTGGAAAAACCGAAAAATGGGGCATGCAAGTAAATAAGAACTTATTTAAACATCTTATTAGCTTTGTTTAATAGTAGAAACTCTAGTCCTATTCCTAGCAGGAGTGGGCTTGGTTTCCTATTCCAAATAAGAGTGGTCTTAGCCCATGTTTGTATAAACATATTATCTCTATACAGTTCAATACACATAGAGACAATCTATATGACTATATCTTAGCCCATGTTTGTATAAATTTATTATCTCTATACAGTTCAATACACATAGAGACAATTTATATTATTAATAAGCCTTTATATTCTTTTGCTTCCGCCTTACTAGTGATTCGCCATTTGCTAGGCCTGTCAATCTCTCAATTTCAACAAGCTTAAAACTTTGCTTTAAGGTATTTTTAAACTTTCAATGGCAAATCCATAAACTAAGTAAACCCCGTGCAAACACTAAGGCAGCTTATCCCATAAATTAAATACTCACTTGTACTAATTGATAACTTAAGAAAAAAATATATATACCAGATATCCTTACAAATTCCACTCCATTTTAATACTCCATAACCATGATCAGATGAAAAGGCACAAAAAATAGAGAGAGGGAGGGAGGGGGGTGGAAGCATCAACATAAATTAGCCACATCAAGGAGGGAGCTTGAGTATGAAGTAGAAATTGTAGGGATCCTTGGTATAAATCATAACTTAAACAAAAGCACCCACTCAAGCTCTGCCAATTAGGGATGACCACGGTTCGGTTTAATAATTGTTGAATTTAGACTATTTTTAAAATAGAAAATATAATTTTTTTAATAAAAAAAGGGTACAAACCGGAACCGCCAATTCCGGTTTGCCATTTTCCAAAACCAAGTCACGTCAAATATTGGTCCCCATTGGACTCCTAAAAGAGTTGCCATCCAACTAGTACATGAAAGTGGCTACGTTAATTAAACAAGGGCGCAAATAAGCATCACTATTAATATAATGTTCTATCTATCTTAGCGGAGCAACAAAATTGAATACTTTAGTTGAAACCTAGACCTATTCCTAGTAGGAATAGGATTATCTCAATACTTGTAGAAATACAATACCTCTATACAGTTCTAGACTTGTGATGGCCAATCTTGATTCCAACGTCTCTAGCGGTCTTCTTAAACTTCTACCGCCACCAACATTCTATATGAGGATAGAGGACACACTCAGATTGTTAGGCATTCTAATGCAAACTAGGTAGGCTATTCATTTGACAAATGTTCTACTTCAAGTTATTGTGTGTTTATTGGTGGTAACCTTGTATCTTAAAAGAGTAAGAAACATGATGTTGTGGCCAGGTGCACCGTGCACAGGTCTAGTGTTGAAGCCGAGTATCATGCTATAGCGTTTGCGACATGTGAACTTATGTGGTTGCAGCACCTACTCCAAGAGTTACCGTGTGGTGATGTTGCTCAAATGACATTGATATGTGACAACCAGGCAGCGCTACACATCGCCTCAAATACAATTTATCATGAGAGACCCAAACACATAGAGGTTGATTGCCACTTCATCCTGGAGAATATCATGTCAGGGTGTATTACAACCCATTTTGTTAATTAGCCACATTAATTAGTAGATATCTTGACTAAATCTCTTAGAGCTCCTAAAATTCAGTATATTTCTAACAAGCTTGGCGCATATGATCTATAGTTCTATACTCTCTAGCTTTAGGGAGAGTGTTGAAACCCTAGACATGTTCCTATTAAGAATGGAATTAGTGCAATTCTGGTATAAATACAGGATCTTTGAACAGTTTTAGACACAGAAATACAATACACCTCTTATTCTTTCACAACTTTAAATACTCCATGGTGTATCATATAGAAGAAATCAGTATTTCAATTTATAAAATGAGCCAACATAATGCTTTAGATGCCTAATCTATAACAATATATTAAGGCTGATGGGGTTATAAGGCAGCTCAACTGGATCAATTACTGGAACAGTAAGCCCAAGATTGTCTTTTTGAAAAACAACTCACGCATGGTAGGTCGGGAGAATTGCTGGGTTGGCATTCCTGGCTTGCAATTGCTGGAATAGCGAAGTGATGCCTGCAGTTTTACTGACATAAGCCGTTGCAGCTATTTGAGTACACTATTGTGCTGCCTATCCGGCTGGCCACAACAGCCAACCAGAAGCACGACATTAGCCCACTTGCAAGGAGTCATCATTACATAGACAGCTTGGATCCAATATAAATAGCTCTTTGACTTTGCATTATGCATCCGATCTCATGTTACTATCCAACATCTCATTCACTACTCGTACAGTCGTACTATTACTGGACCTACTTTATCAGGGTTGTCTAACTTCCTGGTCTCATTTTGCTCAAGACTTACAATATGCCTAACTTGTACACTAATAAGATATTTTCTCTACTCTCTCTCTCTCAAATTCATTTTGCTGAAATTCATGCACATACAGGAACCACTTTGAATATTCTTAAATCCATCAGCATTATATATGTAACACATCAAAGTTTATCTAGGTGTAATTGTTCTACAAATGGCATTTACGGCAACAATTACATCAAAGAAACTGAAAATGAAGTAAATTAAAATTATAATAAACTAGGAAATCATTGTTTGCAGAAAATTAATCAATCTTGTTTGTAGGTTGAACATTTATGAAAAGAATAAATCAAATTCCAAACATCCCAAAAATGCAGAGACGTCTAAAGTCACTTATATATGCAGTGCAATCTAACTGCAGAAACAATTCGATCCATTAGTTATCTCTAATAATGGAAAACAATTTCTTGAGTTGCAGACTTGCATCCTAACAGGGGTGAAAGAATACTTAAAGTGGGAGTAGCTAGAGCTTGGATTTCACAACATAATTACCTCCGAATCTCACTATAAACTTAAATTGATCTTGAAATATGATAAAACACCCAAAATCTCCAGGGTTTTCTCTGCATATTCAGTTTCTCGAGTACAGCCCGCAGATTTCAAATCTCCATATAAAATTACTACAGGCGCTTAATTGAGTTAGTGAATCAATAACGATAAGCTCAATCATCAATTCCAGAAATTGTGACACTACAAAATCAACTCCACTAATTGAAAACGTCACAAATACAGTCAACTCTGAGAAAACAATTTTAAAAAAATTAAGTTTCTGAACGAGTATAGAGTTTCGGCACCTTGATATAGATACAGTTTCGGAGCTTCTTTTCGACGATCTTGAGGGAAGTGCGACTATGTGGAAGGAGGAAGAAGGTTGACTGAGTTAGGGTTAGGAATTTAGGATTTAGGGAGACAGGAGTAATCGCAGGGGAGGCGGAGACCACCGTCGTCTTCGGCTACCGCAGGTGAGGCAGAGACCACTGTCGTCGTCGGTTGCTGCTCGTAGGAGAGGCAGAAATCGCAGATTCGCTGTTCGGTATTCGCACTTCGCAGGGGAGCTGGGGGTGGACACGGACTGTCTAGAGATTTTAGATTTTAGGTTATTATTCTTTCCATTATTATTAGAGTTCGAGTATATTGACTTCCAAATCTTACTACTTAAATTTTACTCTCTATGTAGCGAGTATTGATAAGTTATTTTTTTATGTGAGTCTAATACAAATGTTAATATTCTAATTTTATGTGTGAAAATAAAAGTTAGGAGTAGAAAATGTTATGTTTACGTCAAACGAAGTTTAAGCGGTAGATTGCGGGAAGCCCTAAGTTGGTTGAAGGAGTTGGGAATGGATCATTTTGAGATCGAGATAAATGCACAGTTAGTCTATCACGCCATTTTGAATGGCCATTCCTTTAATTCGTTTGGGGCAGTTATTGAGGATGTTAAAGAAACTGCATCTCAGTTTATGTGTGCTAAATTACTAACTTCCAGTTTGTTAAGCGATCTGCAAACCGGATTGTTCATAGTATTGCTAGAGAGGTTGTTTCTATGTCGGGTTGCGAGAAATGTCATGGATTTCTCCTGTCTTGTTGATGTTTTATACACTCATTTAATAAATTAATTTTTGGTTGGTTTCAAAAAAATTTGGGTGGATTTCCTAACAAATGTGGTTAAGAAAATCAAAGTGCTACCAACTATTTAAATCAAAGCTTTAAAGGTTTAATTGTTAATCGAATTGAATTTAGTATTACCGAATTAATCAAAATGTCATTTTTTCGGTTACGGTCATTTAACAGGTTAATCGATTAATAAAAAAATTTTAAGCTAAAATTTTAAATCTTTAAAATAATACATATAAGAGAAAAGAGCCAAATAGACCCCTAAATTTTATCCCAAAGGTCAATTAAGCCCCTAAACTTTAAAAAAGTGCAATTAAACCCTCAAACATGTCAAATTGTTGCAATAAAGCCCAAAAACTGATAAATGACATGTTATTACAAGTCATTTCAATTCCGACGACGAATTCCGACCACCGGTGAAAAAATCCAGCAACAGCAATTTTCTTCACTAGAGAAGGCGGTCGTCTGGTCGTCTTCTCCACGTCCGGTCGTCTTCTCTAGTGGAAGACGACTGGACAGCCGGATTTTGTCGCCTGTGGCCAGATATTTTCACCGGTCATCAGAATCCGTCATCGAAATTGAAATGTACTGGTTTTTGGACTTCATTGGCCCAATTTGACATGTTTAATGGGTTAATTGCACTTTTTTAAAGTTTAAGACCCTAATTGACATTTGGGGTAAAGCTTAGGAGTCTATTTGACCATTTTCTCTACATATAATAATCAATTCAATTAAAATAATACATATAATAATAAATCCATAAGAAAATATACAAATATAAAATACCATAATAACACTACAAACATAAAAACACAAAGAGTTAATTCAAACAATGATCCTCTGACTATATTGATTTTTCAAAATTAGTCTCTAGCTTTTAATTTGAATACTTTATGTCCCTTGACTTTCAATCTCTTTCCAATTAATGTCCTTTCGTCAGAATACGGTTAATTGGACTTTAAATGAAGCGGTAAACTCGTCATTTCACATGCCTATGTATTATTCTTCATATTTCTTCCCAGCATATTCTTACATCAAATTTTATTTATCTCCAACTCATTACACCAAATTATATTTCTACACTAAAATAAATTGTTTTCTCATAAATTAAAACTTTATTTTTTACTTTAATTTTTTAAATATAAAATTTAATTGTAATGCAAATAATATTTTATTCCACAGTAATATAACATATAACAACTATTAAAATTAAATTTTCAAAATTACCATATCGTTCCCACAAATGCTCAATCGATGCATTACGAAGTGCATAATGCGCTTCTCTATCTTTTATGAAACTTATGGTTTATGTACTTTAATTTTTAATTAATCTATATATAATAGTAGGTTTGTTTTAATCGTCTTGATGCAATATTTCAAATGATATAATTTATTTTTAATTATTCAAATTTTATGTTTATATATTTAAAAACATAAAATGCAGATGATACATCTGTGACTCTCTTTGAGGGAAGGTCACAGGATCAAACCCTGGTGGTGGAGTCTTGACTCCTTGAGCTGCAATAGATAGTGAAAGTATAGAACATATACTACTTGTAATAGAGTCAATAGTATTCAAAAATGTATTTAACAAAATATGTAAATCCATAAAAACAAAATGGGGATACAAAAGAAATTAATAAAAAAGACAAGGGGTAAGGTTGGAATAAAATGGTTTACACCATTTTGGCGTAAATCTACAATGCAACGCCAAATATGGCATTGTACTATAGACAATTGCCAAAATAACGCCCAATTCGGCACCTTCAGTAGGCATGACCGTAATTCCGATTCCGGTTCTGCAAATGACCAAACCGGAACCAAAACCTTATAGTAAGGTTCCGGTTCAGAACCGACGATTCCGGTTAGAACCGTCGGTTCTAACCGAATTTATTAAAAAAAAAAATTTTAAATCGAAAGTTGAACAGCGATCCACCGACAAGGGCTAAATAGGCCGTGTATGTTGTCAGGAACAAGTAACAATGCACAAGGTATAAGAAATTTTGTCTGAAAAGTCATGGGCAAAATTTAAGTGAGCCTATATATATATATATATATATATATATATATATATATATATATATTACACAATTTAATGGCCCAAAAGCCTGCAGCATAACCGTGTGCACCATGCATGATGGTGCACACATTTGCAAAAACGACGTCGTTTTGATATCCGACTTAAAAAAAAAAAAAAAATCAAAATTGCATAACTACACATCCATAACTTTATAACTATACATTTAGAATTGCATAACTACGCATCCATAACTTCATAATTATAAATTCAGAATTGCATAACTACTATACACATCCATAACTTCATAACTGTACATTTAGAATTGCATGCATAACTTCATAACTATACATTCAGAATTGCATAACTACACATCCATAACTTCATAATTATACATTCAGGATATGAAATTATAACTTTAAAACTATACATTCAGAATTACATGCATAATTACACATTCATAACTTCATAACTATAAATCAAGAATTGCATAACTACACATCCATAATTTCATAACTATAAATCCAGAATGTGAAATTATAAAATTATGAACATATGTTTACGTAGCTAACGGCAATCGAAAATGATTTTTTTTATTTAAGTAAAACGACGTTTTTGCATCCGTGTGCACCATGCATGGTGCACACGAATGCACAACATAATTTTCCCCTTCAATCGTTATGTTGTGAGCACGTGTCCACCTTGCATGTGCGTAGGAATCTATATTTATAATGTTTATACGGTAGATCTATAATTTCTAGATTCGCAATAAGCTAAAATTTATACTTTAGATTCATAATTTCTAAAACCGTTGAATCCATAATTTAAATACAGTAGATCCATAATTTGTATACAGTAGATCAATAATTTCTATACTGTACTGATTTGTGAAAACATGGTTCAATTATTAGAATTTAAAAGTATAAATTTTAACTCATTGAGATTTTAAAAATTATAGATCTACAATATAGAAATTATAAAAATAGATTCGAATGTGCATGGTGGGTGCGTGTAATTTGCCATTTCAGAGAGAGCCCCGGAGGAAACACGTGTTCCGTTTTGAATCATAAACAGGAAATGTCAAAATAGGTTTGATGGTTACAAGAATTGCGTACATGAATAACTGGATCCCAGAGAAGGAAAATCGATATAGTGGTGTCCGATTCTCTGATTATAGAGAATCGGACTTAGGCCCTCCGTTATATATATATATATATATATATATATATATATATATATATATATATATATATATATTTAGGTCTTTTAATACATTCGGACCATTGAGGTCCGAATGTAATGATATAATTTATTTTTGTTTTTTATTTGTTTTTAATAAATGCGGAAGAATGTATTGATATTATATTATTTGTTGTTTTCATCCGTCTTATTGTTTGCGGAAATAAATACTCTTAAAAAAAAAAAGAAGGTTCATGCTCAGTATGTATAATGTCCATACTTCATATCATAATTTGAATTTAGATGAAAAAATTGGATAATTAAAAATATAAACAAAACATTATTTTATTGATGATTCAAAGTAGGATAGTTTGGGGAAGAATGAGTTGTCCTCCGACAATACCTACATCTTCTACTTCGATTTGAATCGAAGTCCATTTCATTTGGATACCTACGTGTGCGGCGTTGGCCTCGTTGATTTGGTTGCCTAGCAGAAATCGGTGGAAGGCAAGTAACTGGACCGGTACACTGAATTCTTTCGTCTACGGGGTAAAAATTACCGGCATAACAGTTCTTGTAGTTTTCAACCGAGTAAACTTCTGGCACTAATGGGCTGAATCCTTGCCCTCGGTAATTGCATGTTGCAATCACATGTGCACAAGGTAAGTCGTTGACGTTCCACAAGCCTCAGTTACACGTACGTTCCGTCAGGTTCACTTGAAAGTGATATTGTTGACTTTGGGAAACATAACCAGTATTTAGGGCAACACCATAGATTCCGAGGGCGTCATTGAAACGTTGAACGCTTGCACTGCTTGCCTCATTGTTTCGAGCTGACAAATCATCGGTAATGTTTGTCGTGAATCGCAGGCCATGTTGCTGCATCCCCTCTCCCGCAGTACGCTTGTCGGCAAACATAGTCCGTAACTTGTGAAAAGTCATTCGGACTATTGTCGTGACGGGTAACATCCGACAACACTTTAGTGAATTATTTAGTGACTCAGACGGATTGGTTGTCATGATGCCGTACCGGTGACCATCGTCGTGAGATAATGTCCACTTCTCGACATCAATGTCGGCAAGATAGGCGTATGCAGCCGGCCATTTAATTTGGATTGCATGCATGTGTTGAAGGAATTGATCCCTTGTCACAGCAGTACCAGCTTCCCACACTAGTTTTCGTAACCGCCTATTTCTGGTCACCCTTGACATGACATTGCTGCGAATGTGTCGTAGGCAAAACCGGCGTTTGAACTGTGTACTAACACCGTTGGAACCGTGAGGGTTCACCATGAATGGTGAA